GACAGAAGATGTTCAAAGGCAGCTTTCTTGTAGAAGGGAGGAGACACAGGAGACCTCTGAACAGTTTTATTCATAGACACTATTTTTGCATTGCTTGGCCAAATAATGCTGATATTCTTCATGTGTCCCTTTCAGCTGCTTTGTCTTGGTTGCAGTGACCAGTCTGTATGCTGGAGGGCACTTCCTACCGAGATGCCTCTGCTGCTTGTCAGTTGCTGATAAAGCTCTTACTTTCTTCCTTGGGGTGTCCTTTTCCCAGATATGGTAGAGATGATGCTGATGCAGAACGCTCAGATGCACCAGATCATCATGCAGAACATGATGCTGAAGTCTCTGCCACCGATGGCGTTCACACAGTCTGCTGGAGCCAGCTCTCCCCTGCTTCAGCATGCACAGCAGGTAACGGCACTGGAGTCTGAAGGGCATCCTTGCTCACACGTGGCAATGGTTGATCTCCTTGGGAGGGTGCAGGGCCTGGACAAAACATGCAGAAAGTCTGGGACATTTAACAGCTGTGAGCATCTTCAAACCCACTGCAGCAGGAGATTGTTACTGAGCAGAGCACAGCCTGCCTCTTTACCATGATGAGCACTGTGACAGGACACAGTGGAAGAATGTCTCCTCCACACGTGCAAACTGGATTCAGCCCAGCTCTGAAAATTATCTGTTTGGCCTGTACAGTTGAACCACTGACAGACTATGCATGGAAGACATCTACATTGGGTATCTGCTGCTGCAGGTCCATTTGCTGCAAACAGCAGGACAATATTTGTGTTACAAATCCTGTAATTGGTAAAATTTGACCTGGCAGTTTGAAATGGGCTAGAGCTGAAGCACAGATTTTGTGATTGTACTTGGAGCCCCACTGCTCTAGTTCTTGTCTCACTGAAAGTCAATGGCTACTGAGCTCTGAAAGGACAGATCTTAAAGATATTTTGGTGTGTAGATACCTATAGGAATTTTTCCAAAATGTGTCCAGTGCCTGATAAGAGGTAGGTAATTTTGAACATATCCTTAAATGCCCAATTCCTAAGCTATTTTTAACATGGTGATATAGCTCCTTAGTGTCCTTAAGTGCTTTGGAAAAAGGTATTTCTAGTCTCTAGACTGTAGCATTTATTACCTAAGAAGCAAGGACAATTGATCTTTGGGGAGGAGCGGATGTCCCAATGTTGCAAAAACTTCCCCTGTACTTTTTCTACCCCTCCATTTTCAGGCTAACTATGTCTTTTCCCTGTGCTGTAAAAAGATTTGTTTTCTTTTTCTTGGATGTTAAGGTTGTCGTGTGCTGAGAATGTGATTCCCACACTTCTGCAGTCCTTGCCCAGCTCACTCGCACCTTTCCTACATGCTATTTGCAAAAGCAACAAGTGGCTTAAAAGCCCCCGAGCCCCGGGTTTAACGGAGGGGTAGGAAATGCAATCCTCCTCCATACCCCATCCCATGGCCTGGAAGGAGCTGATGGGTTTTTGCACCTGTTGGGACCAAACGTCTGCCCCAGACAGAAAGCCTCCGACAGCAGCTGCTAGCTCTCACATTTTGTGGCACTGACGTCCCAGGAGGCCACCCGTGGCACAGAGGGGCCTGCTAGTTTCATCAGCCATGGTCTTGGGGTGGACTTGCTGTGGAAATGGTAGGCAGTGCCGGCTCTTCCTCATGTCAGAGCTGCACCGAGCGTTGCCTCGGGTGGAAATCCTTTTCCATTTTCCTTATGTGGTTTCTGGTTTTGAATCCTCTTTCCCCCTTGCCGTGAGGGAGATGTCTGGGGCAGATGGTGGTGCTGGGAGAGCCAGCAGACTCATCTGCAGCTTTCTGTGGAGGACCCCACATCTAAGGGAAGATGGTAGAGGAAAAGTGTGCGTCCCCCTGGTCCCCACCTTCCTCCCCAGGCCATCCTGTCACTATGTGTTCCCCTAACGTAGACTGGTGGGATAAACTGGGGAGAGTGGGGTCTGAATGTCTCTGAATATCAGGTGAAATCTGAAATCACCGAGTGTTTGCTGGGCCTTCTATGTTGGAGCCTGCAAAACCCATCTCCAGACACATGCTGAAGGACTTCCTTTACCAAGGGGTGGCTGACTGGGAACCCAGCCCCTCAGCCAAGGACCCTTCCCATGGGGGCACAGATTTCACAAATTGCCCTTTGTCTCTCTCCAACAAGGACCTGCAGTTTGCTGCTCCCCTGGCTGTGAAAGCAGACAGGCCCAGGCGATCTGCGGTGCACCACCACCACCACTACCCTCCTACAGGGGTGCTCCCAGTGCCCCACGGGGGCTTGCGGTCCACATCCATGGCACATCACTGGTCCGGCAGCACGCTCCCTGCCCTGCCTACGTAAGTAAACAGGCAGCCACAATGTAAACTTTAGCCCTTCCTTCCTGCACGGGTCAGGTAGGAAGGTAGACCAGACAACCCCTTGCCTTCGAGGTTCTTCACTGAGGCCAGTCCTGAATATTGTCTTTAACTCAACAAAGGGATTGAGGCGGGTTAAGTGATGATTTGATACACTCAATCTTATAACTTGAGTAATTAACCCTTGCTTACTGTGGAATAAACATGAGGACCAGACAAGGTCTGTAGATGATACCAAGCTGTGTCCCTGCCATACAGAGCCACCACCCAGCAATGCTGCATGGTTCCGCTCTGCAGTGGTTGTTACGGTGGGTTTTGGGTCTCCCTGTGAACCCAGCAGGCACCTGCTAAATAAGGACTGCATGTGTTTTACATTCAGGCTAAGGTTCCCAGTAGGATTTATATTCTTAAAACACTGCTGAGACATTTGCTAATCAGACGTTCCTGGAAAAAAAACCCACCACCACTCACTAAAGAAAATGGTACAAAGGGAGGGGAGTACTCAGAAATAAAGCCGAGCCTTTGCAATAAGCCTGTGCTTGCAGCTGGGATGTTTTTTCAAGTGCAGAAATGGATGGACTTCTCCCCAGGTTGCCCCCAGGTCTGTAGAGCCCTCAAGCCCTTAGCAGAGGTCAGCAGCCAGCTCCTCCAAGGGCTCACTTGCCTGTGCCTTCCCTGCTATCTCTGAGCTTCTCCTGGTTGGCTTTCTAGGTGTGAGCTGATCACACCTGGGACTAGTGTTCAAACTAGTCTGCTCATGCGAATGCCAGTGGCAGGAGGGGCCTTGGGCAAGGATCTGAGCCAAGAGAGAGCAGTGGTCTTGCCAAGCACATCAGGAGGGGAGAGCAAGAAAGCAGGCATGGAAGCAGCATGCACATTGCTAAGAGTGTGAGAGCGTGGCTGGGGACTTTTGCGTGGGGACTCACTGTTGCGTCAGTCAGAAGACAGCTTTTATATCTGTGCTACAGCTCTTGCAAACCCTTAGGGAACAGAGAGACAGGATAGAGGCAGCTGCATCCTCAGGCATGGGCAACCTGCTGGCAGGGGTATCTGTATGGCCCTCTTTAGCATGGGATTTGAATTCCTGAACAGATTATTTACCTAATGGAATTATAAGGGATAAACATTTCTACCCCTTTCACTTTTACACGTGTTTGTAATCTGTACCGGTAAAGATCTCTTGGCTTCTTCCAGAATTGGTGCAGTTAGCTTCTTGCAGAAATTAGCAAAGGAACATCTTGTCATGGCTTTTAAGTTGTCATCATCTTCTTCTTCAGCTACCTTCCACCATGAGTTATGAGATCCGACACATCTACACTGTCCTTTCGCATCTGCAGCAAGCATGCACTGTTGGCTATTACCAAACACAATAAAGCTGTATTTCTTGTTGCAGGTGGCCCACATATTGACAGTACATGATCCTCTGCAAGTGGACCATAGCATTGCTGAGGTCAGCCTGTATTTGAACAGTTCCTAAAGAATCTGTCTGATTGACAGCCTAATGTCTGTATGACTGCACACTGTTGGTACAAGAAGTGAGTGGGAGAAAGACTTCAGATGTTCAGAACAAACGTACCATGCACCTGTGGTCTGCTCACCCGTTTCTGCTGGTTCAGTTGTTTTCTCTCCTCTTCCAAGCCCAGACCAGCCACAATCAATCACCACTTTTTTTGCTGTCTCTTCACAGAATCAAGAAAACCCATCCCAAAGTGTCTTGCAGGCTTGGCAGCCCACAGCAGCCCCTGGGCATGAAATAATCTTAACACCAGTGTTACCTGAGCCCTTGCAAATGAGTATGACCCAGCTCCAGGGCTGAGAGTCCCCTTCATGTGCAACTTGAGGCATTTCCTCAAAGGAGGGCTGCAGCCTCCTCAAAGGGGGCTGCTGCCTTCCTGGGGAGGATAATGCAAACTAACCCAGGATGCCTGAATGAGGGTTAGTTGCCAAACCTCATCAGCCTGAAGTGTTCCTCCCTCAGTGTTTTTGATTTTACTCCCTCACAGATATACTTGTCCTACAGTAATTACCTATTCGGGGAACTAAAGATGAGCAGGAACAATCCAAATGCAAGTTACTTGCATAGCAGAGCAAAATCCTCGCATTGGATTTTCCTGAAGACCAGCACTCTGCTCTACCTGTGTGAGTTGGCTTTACGCACTGTTTGGATAAATAATTCTCAGTGGAGAAGAACAGAAAGAAATCTGCTCCTGCAGTCATCGGGTTTGAACGTTGAAGTGCAATGCCTACCCCCAGCTAACCACAGCCCATGTTTTCTGCCCCAGAAGGGCTCTGACTCTCAGTCTCTCCCAAAACTCACATTTACAAAGCTACCCACAGTTTTCTTCTCAAAGAGCTATTGGAAGGTGATTTAAGCAGCCTGGAATTGTGTTTATTTATTTCATGATTTCTCAGCCTCTCCCTCATATAATCAGGGTTTAGACTTGATTTAAAAAAAAATAAAAATAAAATCCTGAGGTTCTTCCTTGGATATTGGCATGTCTTTTTCTTCAGCAACATAAATCAAACACTTTTCCACTCTTTCTTTACTTTTCCCACTAATTTTCAGAGGGTAGGCTTTAATCCGAGCCCATGCTATCCTGTTCTTTTGTTTTCATTTAGGACTCCTTGGAAGGCTCGCTCAGCGTTTTAATCAAGCAATACTTTTACATGCTTTCAGCAGCCTGGTTGTGTTTAATACAGAAAAATAAAGAATGAATTAGTAGCACTTTCTCAATGTCTTCCCACCTTCTCCTGTTTTTAAAGTGGAGAACATGTTTATGTTGTTTTGCCTCATGCAGTTTGTGAGTGAATCTGATGAAGATAACCCAGGGACCTAAATTTTGTTTGGAATGGCTACCTGGAAGAAAAGATATTGCACTGGGCATAGATAGTCCCTGATAGGCAAAGCTTAGCCTGGTTTGCCAAGAGCTATTGTCAGTAGCTAAGGAGATATAGGTTTGGCAGCGAGCAGCGGATGTGTACCATCTTGGAAGAAAAAACTTTCAAACTGTGGCCCATTTACCACACCACATAGTGCTGCTCACCGATGGGCCAGTTGCTTCCCTGCGTGTCTGTGCCTTCTGCCTCTGGAGCAGGTACGCGGACCGTGGCCGAGGCTGCTTGTGCAGAAAGCAGTATTACGAGACCAGCTTTAGTTACACGGTTGTATGCTGTGTTATCCACAGGAGTCTGTGAATTAATTGGCATACCTTAAAGTGCTGCTATCAAATTGGTAAGCCAGGGTGGTGGAGTAATCTGTAAAGCCTACTGGACAAGCATGCAAAGGGTGCTGTGAGTGATATTTCCAAATAATAACTGTCACTGCTGGAAGCTAATGGTGTGCTGTCTGTGCTCTGAAAATAATTAATGAATAATTTATTTACTATGTAAAACTTACCTTGCTCTGCCCTGTCTTTTCTGTTTTCTTTGTTGGGTGTGTGTGAGTCAATCAGATAGCGTGGATCAATTCACTGCTGCACAGATCAGAGAAACCCAATGGAGGGTCTTCAGTGGCAACACATTCAGATTCAGTGCCAGGGCCCGTGGGCATTAATAGCCTTTAACAAGCCCAACGAGCCCCACCTGGGACCCCTGCCCTCCCCAAGGCCAGCAGTCCCATTTAAGCTTGGGCCTGAGGCTGCTTGTGGGTCCTGTTGACCCTATCTTGCATGTCCTCTCCTTGCATGGTACTGCAGGTTGGGACCATGGCGTGGCATGGCACTTGCTCCCTGTCCCCTCGGCAGCAGCTGGCTGTTGCTGCATGGGGAATCAGGATGTGCAATGGAGAACGGCCCTGTGCTTGTGCAGGAATTTGGTCTTGCTCCTTTGAGGCAAATCTGCTGTTTTGGGCTGTGCATTGCAGGTTGAGCAATAAATGGTAGTTAGTGTATGTTTATGTATGTGTTTTCACTGTCTGCTGTTTAATTATTGTGTGTAGGCTGTAATTGGCTCCTTTTAAAAGCTTACTGTGTGCAGCGTTGGCTTAGCAGAGCACTTCCTCCCAAGGATGGGCATGTGAAACGGTGCACGCAGAGATGTCTCCTCACAGCCTCATCCAAGTCCTGGAAAGCTTCTGCAGATTAGGCATGGACATTCCGCTCAGCATCACACCCCAAAACACTTGAGGCACACAGCTTCCTTGGATGAAAGGTGTACTTGCAGATGGGATCAGACCCCTAGGCAAGCAGTGTGGTTCATAACCCACCCTCAGGAGAGTGCTCCAGGAGTTACTCTGCATCATCCCACCAGTGCCTCTGCAGTTGCAGCCCAGTGAAGCACCAGCAAAACCCCAACAGATGCAAGTTGTCCTCCTGCTCTATGCACGTTTCATTAGGAGGTCCTTGAAGGCTGCAGAATTGCTTTACAATTTTCAAAAGAGGCCTTTTATAAGGGCTGACTGAATAATGCCACATTCACATCTCTTCACCTAAGGCTCAGTGTGGCTGGCCACACGGCCAGGCTGATTCACTGATAGTCTCAGGGCTGGGAGTTAAACTTTAATATGAACCAGGGGAGAAGAACCCAGGTGTGACTCAGCCGCCCACGTCCTTCCCCTTCCCCTCCCCACTGGTGAGGGCAGTGCAGCAGGACAGGGAGCGGGGACGCAGCAGTAAAAGCCTGTGACCCAGGGGCTGTCCCAGCGATGGAGCCCGGTGACCCACGGGGGAAAAGAGTTGCCGTTGTCGGTGGTGGTCTGGTAGGATATACAATTTAGCTGCTGTGTGATTGCGTTTGCCAGGGAGCAGGAGCTGTAAAAGCATTGCTTGGATGTGGGGTGAATGTTTTTCTTAAAATCGTTCCTCCTTCAGATGACGGGGTGTTATGGAGGAGTTGGTTGAGTTCCCACTGCAGGAGGCAGCGAGGCTCGTTTGAGCAGCTAGAACTTTGTAGGAGGAGGATGGCT